ACAGAGACAGAGCATGAGCAGGGGAGGGGCAGAGAGAGATGGAGAATCCAAAGCAGATTCCAGGCTCTGAGCTGTCAGCACAGAGCCCGACACCGGTCTTGAACTCCCTAACCATGAGATCATGACCTGAGCTGAAGTCAGCACTTAACTGACTAAGCCAACCAGGCACCTCAATTTGCTCCTTATAATGCCAGTATCTAGAAGCTGTTCTGATGCAGTTGATAAAGTAATCACTTTTTCCACACTCATCTGCAGAACCCACCAAACCACCAGCCAGCATCTTTGCCAGAAGTCTGTCTGCAACAGACATTGAAGTTTTCTGGGCCTCCCCCATGGAGAAGAATAGAGGACGGATACAAGGCTATGAGGTAAGCAAGAGATATGTGCCTTGGGTCTGGGAAAGATGCACCCCTCAGTGAGAACTTCAACATACACTCTATTGGGAAAAAGACTCAGATTCCCATTTAAAAGAGGGATTTGTTAAGGCTTCTAGCAGATACTTATTGAACCACTGACATTCTACACTGAAAGCACCCTTTTCCTGCTTTTCCTACTCCAGAAATCTTTTTCAAAATAGATGCAGATCTAAGAATTTATAAGAAGAATGGAGAAATGAGTTTTGACTTTTGATACACCCAGTATCCAGTTGGACTCAAAACAAATGTGGGGGAAAGGTGAGAAATAGCCAACAATGGTTGTGCCCACTTTCGATCTCACTATGAAGCTGAGAACGGAAAGGGAGCCCTTCATACTGCCCAGGAGTGCTCGGGGCATACAAAGCCCTTGGCTCTGAAAGCTCTGCTTATGAGTTGGTAGGAAAACATCAACTCCATCATCAGAATCTGCATTTTAAAGATCAGATGAGGCGCCTGGGTGTCTCAGTGGTTTAAGCATCCTACTTCACCTCAGGTCATGATCTCGCGGTTCAGGAGTTGAGCTCCACATCTGTCTCTGTACTGACAGCTCAGAACCTGGAGCCTGCTTTGGATTCTGTGTCTTCCTCTCTCTCTGCTCGTCCCCTGCTCGTGCTCTGTCTCTCTCTCTCAAAAATAAATACACATTTTAAAAATTTAAAGAAAAAATAAAAAGCTGCTACCATTGGAAATATCTCTAATAGGTATGATTCCCACAGTCTTCCTTTTTATTTTCTCAGGTTAAATACTGGAGACATGATGACAAGGAAGAAAATGCTAGAAAAATACGAACAATTGGAAATCAGACATCAACAAAAATCACCAATTTAAAAGGCAGCGCGCTGTATCATTTAGCTGTCAAGGCATATAATACTGCAGGGACAGGCCCGTCCAGCGCAACGGTCAATGTGACAACCAGAAAGCCACGTAAGAACATTCTTGTTCAGAAATATTTTAGGGATTTCATCAGACATATCCCAAGTTCATTCCCCATCCCCACCTCCCAGTGATCATTTGCATACTAATTGGTATCATTATGTGTATTCAAATTTACCTTAGCATTTTAACTGAACCTTTCCGAATACCATGCAAAATTCATTGCTCCAGAGGACAGAAAGATAAATGTTTTTCTCTTCATTGGGAAGGGCTACTTCTTTTAGATATAAATGTTAGGCGACCAAGTGAATCTTTTTCCATTTGCAGTGCTGTATCTCGTCAGATTTTAGTGACCTTGAAGACACATATTAGTGCAATAGCCCATTAAATTGCCTCCACTCTTGAATTCTAGTAAGGAGATATTCCTCAGAATCCATTGAGACTTAATAATCTGTGACTTCGTATATCTTAATTTTTTTATAGCACCAAGTCAACCCCCCGGAAACATCATATGGAATTCATCGGACTCCAAAATTATCCTGAATTGGGATCAAGTGAAGGCCCTAGATAATGAGTCGGAAGTAAAAGGATACAAAGTGGGTAATTTCTTTTTTGCAGAGGCTCCTAATCCTGCTGTTAGTGAGAACAGTCTCTTCACACAAAGTCATATGAACTATGTTCTCACTTTCCCTGATGATGCCTCACAGCCTCTCTAGGAGTCCCTGTCCCCAGAGTGGTTTGCTCTGAGTTTTATAAATGGTCCGTGGCCACAGGCCAGAGTTAGAGATTGCCTAATCTGATTCTTTGGACTCAGGCAGAGTCTTTCAGAAATGGTTGAAGAACCTATGGGTATGTCTTCAAAAACTCAGGAAAAACCGCATCTGTAACATTTCTCCTGTCAACTTTGTTTTGTTCTTGTCCTGGTTGTCTTTTTTTTTTTTTTTTTTTTTTTTTTTTTTTTTATCAACAGTATTATGAATGGTTAATCATTTTTATTCCTGTTCCTATAATTAGGGAGATTTATAGAGAGAAAAAGAAACCAGGGAGTTTTTAGACAATTCATTTGTCTGCTCCCATAGTATTAGTCTGACTTTATTTAGCTAGAAAAGAAAGAGTGTTTAGCCTTGGTGCCACAATTAACAGGAAGTGTTACTGTCTTGTTTTGTGTTACTTTTAAGCAATGTGTGGGGCAATGCAATGCAGGGCAGACAAAACTGGCGTGCAAGCTGTGGTGTGTGGCATTTTTGCAGGAAGTGTTGAGAGTAGCATAGAGGCAGTGCTGTCAGGAGCTCATGAAAGGACATGGGCCTGTTGGAAAGTAGTTGATCAAAGCACAGCTGGAATTAGGAGTGGATGTAGTGGTGGTAGAACCTTGGGTAACATGAGTAGAGAAGAATTCAGGAAAATGCTCCCTGTCACGACTTCCTTTTCTTTCCTTCACGTGGCACAGTGATTTGTATTCTGCCAACAGAGCAACATTGCCTAGAAACTCATCTGCAGAACTTTTCCTGTGTCCTTTTATAAGAGCAAACTCTTCTGGAAGGGTCTTCTAGCATAAATTAGGAGGCCCACATTTTGGTCCTCTATTAACTCTGTGACTCTAAATCACTTAACGTCTTAGGGCTGCATTTTCTCTTTTATTAAAGGAGAAATTTCCTAGTATCTTCATTTTTCTCTGAACTTTTACTCTAGACGTTTCAGTTGGGCCATGAAAAAGGAAAGAAGATAGGCAACTCTCTGGGAAGGAGTGTTCCAAGCACAATGAACAAGATGTGCAAAGGTCCTGAGGTGGACACATGCCAACATGATGCAATAGGAAATAGTGGAGACTGTGATGAAATAGAGATTTTCTCATTGTCCAGAAGAGGCAGTGGATTCTGGGCTCTAGCCTATTATTACCAAACAGTGTGTCAATATCTTCTAATTTTTTTAGTAGAACCCAAAATTGTTTCATGTATAATTTGGGGGGGGGGTGGTAAATGTTGACATCTAACTCAAAATAAAATAAAATAGTAAGATGAAATAAACACTGTAAGAGCGAAACACTTAACATATGCAGGTCAAATGTGACCCACGGACTGTCAGTTTTCTACTAATGAACCCCCTTGTTTTGCATTCATGAAGACAGAGACCAGAGTGGGGAAGCAATTTTCCCACACAGATGGTGGCCAAACTAGACTGAGTTAAGCATATAGGCTATTGACCCAGACCACCTACATTTGAATGCTAAATCTACCACTTACTGTTCATGGTACCCTGGGAAAATTGCATAATATCTTCAGGTCTCAGTGTCCTCATTTTTGAAATCAGAGTAATAACAATGCCTGTCTCAAGAGGTAACCGTGTTACTACTTACAACATACAGTGTTCTCTGGCCTCATTGAAGATGTCAGACAGATCCCTCCAAAGCCACAGTGAAGTTGCCCAGGGCCAGGTGTCACATAACATGGTAGAAGGTGGTGACAGATCTCTCGTTGCTTATGAGGACATCTCCAGGCTCCAAGTATATGTCTGTGTCAGTGAGGTGGGAAGAGGTTCTCTGCCAGATTCTATAGATTATGTTTTGAATCGAAGCATAAGCCAAAATAGCACAGTTAGGCGCTCTGATACCAACCACCGCCTCATCTTTCTCTCTGCTACAGTGGTCTCGAAAACCAGACCACTTGTGTGTGGTTGTAGCCAAAGAGTGGAAACAGCCATACAACATAAAAACACCTGAATGTCGTTTGTTGTAATATACAGGGAAACAGGGGCGCCTGGGTGGCGCAGTCGGTTAAGCGTCCGACTTCAGCCAGGTCACGATCTCGCGGTCCGTGAGTTCGAGCCCCGCGTCAGGCTCTGGGCTGATGGCTCAGAGCATGGAGCCTGTTTCCGATTCTGTGTCTCCCTCTCTCCCTGCCCCTCCCCCGTTCATGCTCTGTCTCTCTCTGTCCCAAAAATAAATAAACGTTGAAAAAAAAAATTAAAAAAAAAAAATATACAGGGAAACGGTTTGGGACGCCCAGTGAAGAACAAGGAGCAGAGAAAATGCACTTTGAGGGATAGGGGAAGGATGTAGCTGAGAGTCGTATTGTTAGTCTTGATTATGGGAGCATCTCAGTGATTTAAAAATATCCATGGACCACAGCTGCAAGAACACAAGCACAGAACTGTGCACTAAGGCCATCCCTGAAGGGTCACTGAAGTCCAGGTCACAAGGCACACCTTTGGGAGGCGGTAATTTCACTTTCTTTTTGAGTACTGATGGTCTGGACACTTCATATATTGATCTACATTTAATAAGAAAATCAGAGATCCATTGGCTCCAGTTCAGTGGCTCCTACTGATTCTTGGGGAAAAACTCATCATCTTTGATAAATTAGGACACATCTCCACTTTGATGTTTCACCAGACATTGAGAAATAGACTATAACTGAAATAATGTCAGGTTGTCTAATGTGATAAGAACAAAGTTTAAATTACTCTTACTTTTCACGTAAAAGAAGAACATAGAGTGTTGAAGCACAAAGTAAGCATTCAATAATGTTTGTTACTGTTATCATTACTCCCATGAATCCACTCTTTCTGCTTTTCTTCTGCCCTGGGTTATATGAAATGCAAGCACAGCCTTCAAGTCAATCAGCCGAACCAAGTGTTTGGTGTAAATAAAGGTTTTACAGGCTCTTATTTAGGTTCCAATGCAGTCCCTAATATTACAAGACTGATAAGCAGTGCTGATAGCAAGGCTGCTTTTTCCTGGAAGTGTTTCTTTTGGATTTATATTTGAAACTGGTTGAAGTCTCTGTGCTCTGGCAAGGACCAGAGGTAAATCAAAGAAGCAATTTATTCCTCAAAGCCAGATGTGCCCTTGCATCCCATCAGCCAGCCCGTGTTCCTGAAGGGCCGTGATGAGACGCTTTGACACTCCTGAATGTGCCTGAGGATTTATTTGAGCCTGATCATTAGCGAGGGGATGCTGAGTTTGATACAACTGATGTTCCGGAGAAGGAAGGGGACACTTATGAATCTTTCCACCTTAAGGAAATTGTGTTTTCCACCATGTATTAGAGAGATATAAATTAAGGTGATGAAATGCCAGGGAACAAATGGGATCTATACCATTTTAAGGGAATTTCATGAATTTTACTTGTGTTTGCTTTTTATTGCAGTAGTAGAGTGGCCTTATGTCCCTAACTTCAGCAGGTCAGAATTTTGAAATGTGAGCAAATCTTATGGTTCTCAAAGTGTGGTTCCTGAACCAGAGGCAGTGGCATTATTTGGGAAAATGCAGATTTTCAAGTCCAACGTCAGACCTACTAAATCATAAACTCTGGGGTGGGGTCTAGTGACCTGGGTTTTAACAAGCCCTCTAGGCAATTCTGATGCACCCTCAGGCTTGAGGACCCCTAAGCGAATGCAAGATTTACAGCCACATTAACATCACATCAAACTCGTTTTAAGTACCGCAGCCTGGCCCCTACCTCTGTAGCATTACCTCTGGAGTGGAGCCATAGCAGGCTTCCTGGGCCTCCTCACTTCTGCCAATTTGAGCTGGATAACTCTCAGCATGGAGACTGTCCTCTGCATTCATTGCAGGCTGTTTTGCAGCATCCCTGGGCTCCACCCAATAAACAGTAGCACCTGTTGTGACAACCACAAATGTCTGCAGACATCACCAAATGCCCCCTGGGGGAGAGGAGCAAAATTGTTCCTTCAACCCTCCCACCCTGTTGAGAACCCCTGAGCATCAGTATTTCTCATGTTCCCCAGGTGTTTCTACCACACAGCCAAGACTGAGGACCACTGATCTCACCCAACCCTATGTTTCTTAACTACCAGCAGAAACTGAAGGTACTGGATTGTAGTGATTTAAGAGTACGGGTTAGGAATTCTCACTAGCTCTGTGACATCTTCCGGCCTCAGGCTCCTCATCTTTGGCAAGGACTAATAATGCCTGTCTTGTCAGACTGCTGTGACAGTTAAACATGGTGATGTCAATAAGGGACCTAGGTCACAATAAACATCAGAAAGTATTATCAGCACAGTCGTTATATCCAAAACAGTAGATGCACTTGTCCAGGCTTTTAGATTTTGTTTCTAATCATAGCTGATGGCAGTCAGAGTAGGAAATACCAGGCAGGCAGGTAGATGTGTTTTCGGGAGACCTAGTTGGGTACCTTGTCAAATGAGCCACAGACCCAGACCCAGGGGAGGCCAAGAAGGGAACCATGCATGAATAGGACCAGTGAAGCTATAGACACTTCTGGAGTGACAGTGACTGCCACATAATACCCTGTTTTCCACATAGCTCAAAAAGGGGTCTCAGTGCAAGGAAAAGGGGGTTCCCGCCCTTGCCTTTTGGAAATCTCTCCCTGTGCTGAAATGTGCTTTCTCCAAAGGATTCATGGTGATAATAACGTATGATGCCTTCCTTGTGCTTCTCACCTTTGCCACGTGTGTTTTTTATCTCTTGTTCCCTTTAAGCCTTCATAAATACTATGTCTTACATGCTTCATTTGAGCTAAGTCCTTCACTTACAGTCAGTCCTTTTGCAACCTTGAAAACACCCCAGAAAGGTGGGTGTCATTGTTTCCATTTTACAGATGAGGAAAATGAAGCCCAGAGAGGTAGTGAGGACTTTGGTCCTCTTTCTAGTGGCCAAGTTGATTCCGATGTCAGAGCCCCTCATGTATAACTGAGCTCTGTACCTCCTCCAAGAGGTATTCATCTTCCAGGTGTATTATCTGAGCCTCCAGAGGTTATGTGAGGCCACATGGCGTGGTGGGTGACTCATGCTAACCCCATCCCCATGCTGCAGTGTCCTGTAAACTCTTTCCTCATCATGAAATGGTGGCTGCAGACGTGCCCCTGGGTATAAATGAGCCTCCCAAGTGCGTGCGGGCAGTCTGACAACCTCCGTGTTCCCACATTTCGCTGGTGCCCAGAGGTGAGAACGAATGAATGCTCCATCTTTGGGGCTTTTGTGAGGACAGCAGGTGACACCTGTTCTTTCTGCATTGGCAGGTCTTGTACAGATGGAACAGACAAAGCAGCACATCTGTCATTGAGACAAATAAAACATCAGTGGAGCTCTCTTTGCCTTTTGATGAAGATTATATAATAGAAATTAAGCCATTCAGTGATGGAGGAGATGGCAGCCCCAGTGAACAAATTCGAATTCCAAAGATATCAAGTAAGAGTGTGTTTTTCCTCCCTTGCCCCTCCCTGCTGTAGCTCCTAAGCCTTGCGAATGAGTCCGGGCTCAGACAAAGTGAAGCCCACAAAGAAACTCTTCTTCAAAAATGGGCAGTGCCATCCCCTTCCATCAGACAAGTGATGTTCACTGATCACAGGCGGTTTCACACAAAAAGATGATGTGACCAGTTTTGACTGATTTTATCAGTTGCCAATCAAAAAATCAGATTAAAGCAGCCCCAAATCCATCACACAGGTTTTCCCTTGTGGACCTGTGTGGTGTGCATCTACAACAACAGCGAAATTGCAGCTTAGAAAGTTAAAAGCGTGAGTCACTCAGGAGGAATAAACAAAGGGGTCTTTAAAGTGCTGTAGCAATTTGTCTTTAGCAGAACCATGTAACTCAATGTCTGTGGCTGAAAATCTTTTGAACTGGGCACTATTTTGAATGTGTGTATATAACGTGTACATAAACACGCAGGTCCATGTATAGCGAAGATTATCTCTGTTGACAAAGATTGTTGAATAATATGTAAGAATGTTCTTTTTTGAGCAAATATATTCAATCCTGTTTTTTAAGCACTATGTTTGCAGATATCTCAGCAGCATATTATTTTTTATTGTTGTATGATTTCATTTATTAAAAAAATAGAAAAGGCAAATCCATAGACACAGAAGTCAGATTAGTGACTGGTAGAGGCTGGCCAGTGGTGTGAATTGCAGCTTAATGGGTACTGGGTTTCCAGTTGGGGTGATGAAAAAGTCCTTGACCTAGATAGTGGTGCTGGTTGAACAACATTGGGGTATACTTCATGCCCCTGACTCGTTCACTGTAAAATAGTTACAGCGGTAACTTTTATAACACATATGTTTTACCACAATAAAAAAAATTGCAGTTAGAAGTCTTAGTGTAGATTTTCATTGGCTTTTGGATTTAACTGCCTGGAGATAAGGGGTTCAGTGCAGGCTGGAAATATAAATTTTCAAGCCATCAGTGGCAACATAATATTTTAAATCATGGACAAAATTCTCAACATAGCGTCCTGAGTTTCAGCCCCTCTGCTAGGTATCCATCACATTATTTTTCAGATGAGGAAAGGGTCTAGTGTGTGTTGCTGATAGCAACTTATGGGAAGGCACTCACTAAGCAATTTTCACTGCATCTATAAAATTTGGATGCTTCCCATCAGAAAAGAAAATGTTCATTGGTCATTTAACCCTTCTCCTGAATAAGCATTTGCTAACATGGACAAATACAACAAGACTTCATAGGGACCCTGAAGCTGTTTCAAGCTATGCTCCCAACTCAGGATGATTTGCCAATTTCCAGATAAAGTTTATGTTTACTGCACCCTTTTTTCAGGTGGACACTAAAGGCATTTTTATCTTAAAAAACAGCAAAAACAAAAAACCTGGGGAGAATTGGATTCTATATCTCACTAAAGCAAGGGCTCTAAATTCTGTTGAAAGGAACCAAATTTGTGGAACCTGAGATGTGGAAGTAATCACCAGGCCACAAAAACCTGAGATTGGGGTTTGTCTGGGGGTCAGTTCATCTCATTTTGTTAAAATCTCACTTCATACTTTCTTATCATTATAAGGATTGTCATTGTTGTTCTGTTGTTGTTGTTTAGACCAGTGATTCTTGGTTTAATTCATTACAAAAACGTATCTTAAGCAATTAAATTGATATAATTGATATTAGATAATAAGGATGTGACTGTGAAAAAAAAAACAACAAGTTCTCTTCCTCAAAAGATTGTCCATTTTGTTGGTCAAAGACCTTACAATTTTGGAGGAGCCTCAAACAACAGCTGGTAGCCTGTTAACTATGAAAACTGGAAGACCTGTAAGAAAAGGTGTTATGTGAAAGGATTGAGATTATTCTGGGGGAAAAAGGGGGTATATTTAGACAGATGTGGATTTGAATCCCAATTCAGCTATTTACTAACTCACTGCTCTTAGACAAGTTTTCTTACTTCTCTGGATCCTAATTTCCTCATCTGTGAAAGAGTGTCACAATACCAGATTGCTTAAGGTTTTTGTAGGAATTAAGTGTCACAGTGCCCTGTGCCCAGCACAAAGGTAGAATTCAAAAGGGAGCAGCAACTTTTATTTTGCTGCATCACTGATGTAATAGTTATTAGCAATGTTATTAGTAATATTGAAGTTTCTTCTTACGTTAGATGTGGACATCCTCATGAAATGCTTTCACAGAGGTCCAGAGATGTCCCATAAGGTGCTCTTAGGTTCCTAGGTAGGTAGTCATAGAACTGATGTTAAAAAGTCATTAAGAGGGGCACCTGGGTGTCTCAGTCGGTTAAGCATCCTACTCTTGGTTTCTGCTCTGGTCATGATCTCACACTTCATGAGTTCAAGCCCTACATCAGGTTCTGCGCTGACAGCACAGAGCCTGCTTGGGATTCTCTCTCTCTCTCTCTCTCTCTCTCTCTCTCTCTCTCTCTCTCTCTCTCTTTCTCTCTCCTTGTCTCTCTGCCCTTCCCATACTCTCTCTCCTTCCCACTCTCTCTCAAAATAAATAAACTTAAAAAAAAAACTAAAATAAAATAAAAAATAAAAAGTTACTAGGAAATTGTTATTTCTGGTAGAATCTAGCCATTTCTACTGTTTCGAAAAGTGCTGTGGCCTTGCTTTCCATTGTATCCCGGGCAAGGCGATACTGAATGGAATTATTCTGTCTTTCCAGATGCCTATGCAAGAGGAGCCGGGCCTTCTACTTCGAATGCATGCACACTGTCAGCCATCAGTACGATCGTGATTTCCCTCACAGCTAGGTCCAGTTTATGACAAAAGTTATCTAAAGGACTTGCTATTTATAATATAAGCAACATTTAGCTAGTTGTTTTGAAGACACCCAGTACTAAGTAATATTGTTGTTCAAGTACATCTTATTACTGGAAAAAAAAAATGTTTTTTGCTTCTTTAGGAATGGCATTATACAGTACTTCCTCAAAGCAAACCTAGCTTTGTCTGAAGTTTCTTTGGAAACTCTGCAATGCACTGAAGACATCTGTAATATGATGTTACCAAAGCAGTTTACATATGTCCTTATATGCATATTTTTTATTATATATTTAGTGTTTTATAGAATTTTTTAAAGTTAACATGAAATGTAGATATTAATTTTTTCCTCTGCTGTAAAATGCTATGGGCAACACAATCATACAATTATTATTTGAAAATATTTCCTTTAAAGAAAAAGTTTGAAACTCATATTGATAAATAAATTATAAACTGTACAGTTTTACAAGGATTCAGTGGCAGAACAGCTGAAGATTTGGTCTGGAACTTAAGGCTGCGATGTGTAAATGACTCTTTGGATAGTTAACACATTGAATCAAGTCCTTTTTGACATGTACAATATGTTTTCCCACCCTCTTGTGAATTTTGTTGTTCAACACAACTTGAGATGGTTTCAGGAATGGTTGTGAACTAGAAACCTAAACTAACTGCCCAAGAGGTACCTTGTGCAATATTCCCATCCCTGAATTTAGCATTGTACAGTAAGACTTTCTTTTCACTCAGCTAAGTTAGCATTGTGTCTGTAGTAGCATTATCTTAGGCATTAAATTTGAAGTTACCTATCCAGTAGTAACATAGACCAAAAGTTACTATAGTCAACCAACTCTTTCAAAGGATAAAAGATAATTTTACTATCTTTAACTGTATCTGTCTTGAATGTACATTTTTTAAAAAGGTAATTCTCTGTTGTTGGATTCATAATTTCTTTATATATGTGTATCTCTTTAATAATAGAGCCCTTCTTTTGAATCAAAATCATGTATGGAGTTTGGCACATTTCTCCTATTTCAGCAGATAGTTGCTGCGAAGAAATTTTTCACGACACTACAAAAGATCTTTAGTATAACTGTATGTTATCTTGATGATTATCCTGTTTTGCAGTAAGTAGCTTAGTTGCTTTATAAGCTTTACCTTCTAAGTCTTAAAATCACATATTGGAAAATTACAGTATAAAAAACCACCTATTCTTATGAAAAGAACTATTTGTTATAATGGGGGAGGTTTTGTAAGCAGCTGACACTTGTGGAACAGTGCATATAAAAGGCAATGAAATTTTCTATAAAAATTTTCACATGTGAACACTCTGCCACCTTTTATTCTTTCTCAGAGAGCTCAAATTTGCCTGTAATTTGTCATTTTTTGCTTACAAATAATATAAGTTAACTTTTCAACCTTCTAACTCTATTTATCCAACAAGGTCCTGTCCTAATCAGGATTCCACTTGTGTAAAAAATAGGGTGGTAACCAGAAAAAAAAATTATTGTCAGTATTTCAAGCTGTGTTCCTTTCTTAGTTTGATATGGTTACTTCTATGTTAAAATAAAACAAAACTTAAAATCACACACACAAAAAAATCAACAAAACAATAAAATGAATGAAAAAAAAATGATACCCCAGGTAGTTCCCGACCCCAGTGTAAATGATATTTACCAGTGATCTAGCATATGTAATCTTTTTTTAAAGGTATTGTTAATAAATATTCTGTCATTTGTAAAGATACTTGTCTTTTGGGAGCATTTTTCCTGCCTGCCTGTCAGGGAATTTGTTAGCTCACCCTTGTGCTAGTCATAATTTGACATGACAGAGGGACTCCAAAGTCTCTGGCCATGATTCAAAGCTAGGTGACTCAGAGTATCCCTTTGGAATTGACAACCCCGAAGACACCATTTCAAATCCTCTTTGCAAGCAGAGAGGGTCATAATCCACAAATAAATGTCCTGAAGATCAAACTTGAATATTTCCTCTTGATTACCTAAGTCTTTTGCATATTTAACCTATGGATATCTGTTGTTTTAAGCTTTCCTCAACCCCATAGCCAAAAGGATAAAATCTAAACTTGATCGTTTAAGGCCCTTAATCTAATAACAACTTAACTTCGTACCCAGCTACACTGAGCCCTCACTGGCCCCTGAACACTGCTTGCTTTTGATCTCACCTCTGTGCCTTTTGATGTATGGCTGACCCCTCCTGACATGCCCTCCCCACCCTTATTTCTCACCCAATTCCTGACTGTCCTAGGGTAGCTCCAGCCCCAGGCGTCTGCGAAGTCTTCCCACACCTCAGCCCTTTAGGATGTCCTTCCTCTGGGTTAGCTACAATCCCTGTCAATACCACTCATTTAGTAATTAATCAGGTACTACTTTTGGAAATCTCTTGTACTGTTATCTTGCATTTTAAGTTAACTCCTGTATTGTTACTTAATTTTCCTTGTACTTATGCCTTGTCTTCCCAGCTAGATTGTAAGCTCCTTGAGGGCAGGGACTTTGGTCTTATCTTCCATGTACTCTCCATAGTGCCTAGCACAGTGCCTTGCAATAAATAATCATTGATTAATTGAAGGGGTCTTTGAAGTAGCATTTTGCATCAGTTGCCTGCCTATGTACCTTAGTGACCCAAACAGAGAAGACCGTGTCACTATTTTTGTTAGGTGGTGAAAAGCATTAGAAGGCCTGGCTTCAAACTTTATGCTTTGAAAAAGTCCTGTTATCTCTCCGCTTCATCGTCTGGTAAATGAGGACCTGGATTAGCTGAGTCCACCTGAGCTGAAGGTATTTTAGAAAGTGCTTCATAGACACCTTCACCCACACGTGTCTGATTTCTTTGGCTTCTGTGTTTGTTGTTGCAGGTTGGGTTCACTGTTTGCAAGCAACAGAAAACCACTCTGGCTAAATTGAACAAACAAAAAGGAATGACACCGATTAGGTCACATGAGCCAAGAAAAGGCTGAATGACCAAGCCTTGATGACAATAAGAACCAGGCTATGCTAAGAACCAGACCACAAGCAACTCTGAAAAGTCTATTCCAAGTGCTTTTTTGGGAATAAATTGGATTTGTTTATGAGTTTGATACTACTCTGTTCTATATGCAAATTCCTAGAAGAGTCTGATCTGTCCATTTTGTGTCTCATAGCCAAAGCACCTTGATCACATCAAACCTGCACTCATAGCAAAGTAATAGCTTACTAAAGAAAAATTGAGGTGATGTTTCCACAAGATGGGATGATAGATACTGGGAAGATCTAAGCAACACACTTTCTATGCTTAGCTATCCGAGGGGACTTGCCTGGACCGTAGTCCCAAATAATATTCTCAGATGGAGTGTATTACTACTTGAGACAGTGACTCTGAAGCAAGAGCACTAGAAGGGGCCTATTTGCTTTGGTTGTTTAACCTTTTCAAGTGCTTACTTTTACCCTTACTCTTACCTTCTTTTTGTGTGTGCAATCTACCTGTGATTTAACTGTGTAAAAGAAAACTCTCTGGCCAGATAATTGGGTTCTCTCAATGTTCCTGAATTTTTATAGAGCTTCCACACCCTATGTACAAAACAGCATCTTTGCATGGAGGCAGAAGACATGAATGATAAATTTCATTTCTCAGGTGAGCTCAGAATTCTTTCAGCCTGTGGGATGGGGGCTACTATAAGCTTTCTATCTGAAGATTGAATGACTGAGTTTTTCCTACCATCAGATTTTTGGTTATTTACATCCGAGAAGCAATGTTCAATCCTGATTAAACTTTTCCAGTTCTTTCTCACCACCCTGACCTTGTTGCAAAGTATGCTCAAAGAACATTGAATGTTGAGTGTTGAATTATAAAAAGTACATAAATAGTACATAATTACCTACGAAAATGTCATGTAATTTTTAAAGTAATTTAATGTAATGCAATCAACCACCAGGTGATTTTTGTGCACTGTATTGGATTATCCATGCCACTGTTCTCCTCCATTAACCCAGATAATCAAGAATTGACTGTATTTTCCTGTTGTTACAACTAAAACAGTTCTCTATCCAACCACGGTGATTGGAGGAGCAAGCCTTTTCAAATCAAAGACTTACAGTCGATTTCTAGGCACACCCAAAATTACTCCATCACAAAATGAAAGACACTGGGCCTGACACAGGCAGCTTAATACAGTATATAAGAATACAGATTCTGGAGTCTGACCTCCTGGAATGCATTCTGACAATTGCTATTTATCATATAGGATAAGGTTTGTAAAGTCCTAAATGCACAGCTCTCTAAACATTAGCAACTATTTTATAGATCAGTTATTGTTCATTTTCTCAAGTGACTAAGATAGTCATAAAAACCAGACAAAAAATATACAGGTTTCCCATAGAGAAAATGTGTTGAGCTCAACATACATGTCCATTATCATCTTGTGTTTAAATATTTTCACATCTTGGGGCGCCTGGGTGGCTCAGTTGGTTAAGCATCCAACTTGAGCTCAGGTCATGATCTCACGGTTTGTGAGTTCAAGCCCCGTATCGGGCTCTGTGCTGACAGCTCAGAGCCTGGAGCCTGCTTCGGATTCTGTGTGTGTGTGTGTCTCTCTCTCTCTGCCTCTCCCCCACTCATTCTGTCTCTATCTCTCATAAATAAATAAACTTAAAAAATTTTTTCAGCATTTTCATGCCTTAAAAATATAAATATTTAAGTATTTAAATAATACAATTAATAAAATTAAGATATTTAATAATATTGATATTTATAAAACAAGTTAGGCAGTAGGGTCCTCACTGAGATGCCAGCTTTTCCACAAAGGCTTCCTCAGTTTCTCCATCTGGTATGGACCTCTTGTTTCTCTGACTTCCAGGGCGCATCATCAGTACCCTCATGTATCTATCATCCCATTAGCTGGTCATTAAATCGCTTCTTCTTCCCACCAGACAGACCATTTTAGGATTAGAGTCTGGTTGTAATTCTTGAGTGGACTTCCCAAGCACCAGGCCCATATCCCACCATCTCTATCACTAACA